GTGTGTGTGTGTGTGTGTGTGTGTGTGTGTGTGTGTGTGTGTGTGTGGAGGGGGAGTGTCTCTCACCTCGTCTCCAGGATCTGCTGGCGGATGGTCTTTACGTATTCGAAACTGTCAAAGCAGCAGATGTCGTAGACCAAGATGTAGGCATGGACACTCCGGAGCCCCCTGCAGCAGGCATCTGCCCACTCCTATAATGGCCCCACACCCCCAGGGCCATCATGAGAGTAGACAGTGAATCTCTTCATTCTCCATCCCCCGTGTTCCCTTTATTTATTGATAAGGATACCTGCCCCTGAGCCAAGCAGGATGGCCCATCCCCAAGCTATGAGTTTAGGCTACTGCTGCTTCTCCCAATCTCCCCTGGAAAAGGAAGGCTCCATCCCCGAAGACACTGTCTTTAGAGAGAGCCTAGACCTGGCCACCAATAAAGCTGAGACTTGGCAAGGACAGTAGTGTAAATGCAATGGAAGAATCTCTAAAACCTCTTCCTCCCAGTTCTATATTGGTGAGTTTATGGACCCCAAACCAGGAGTCAGGAGACTTGGATTCACAGAATCGCAGGATTTAAAGCTGGAAGAGATGTGAGAGATCATCTAGGCCCACTTTCACATTTTACTCAATGATGTTGTTGTTCAGTCATGTTCAACTCTCTGTGACCTCATTTGGGGTTTTCCTGGCAAAGATACTGGAGTGGTTTGCCATTTCCTTCTCCAGCTTATTTGACAGATGAGGAAACTGAGGCAGATGGATGCAGTGACTTGCCCAGGGTCACACAGCTAATAAGTGTCTGAGGCTGGATTTGAACTCAGGTCTTCCTGACTTCAGGCTCAGCATTTTATCCACCATGCCACATAGATGCTCCAATACTAAATATTCAAATACTGATAGATATGATCATCTATTTTGATCCTCTAGCCCTTCAACAATGCAGACTGAAATTCATCTATACCTGCCTATACTATGGGACTTTATTTATGTCCATCCTTCAACAAAAAGGATGACTCAAAGTGCTGATGTCCTCCCTCTATTTCTCTGGACATTAAGAAGTTACCAATGGAGCACTGTATATATCCACCTCTTGTCTCCTTCCCTCAACATTTTTCCTCTTTCTAATCTACAATTGCTTAATAACTTTTATTCTTATTCATATTTGAAGTTCCAAAGTGTGTATATTGTTGCAGCCTGATCACCCCCACCATCCTTCATTGTACCAGTGAGAAAGTTTGAAGGTCCAGAGAAAATAAATGATTTGCTCATTGTATGACTAGTACATGGAAGGGTAGAGATTTGAGTTCAGATTTGATTCCAAGTCCATTGCTCTTTCCCAACACAAACCGTCTCATTTTCTTGTCCAGTTCTGCTGCTGTGTGAGCTTGGGCAAATCACTTTCCTCTCTAGCCTCACTTTCCTCCTCTGTAAAATTAGGAGGTTGGGCTGGATGAGCCATAACTTCAATTCCAGTCTTTATGTATTAATATAAATCACTTTTCAGTCAATTTCCCTGGCTTCCCATCCCAAAAGCACAGTAAGAATCACTTGCTGTCCGTGGTCCTGAAATCAAGTTTTCCTGGTACCCAAAATCACGAATCTCACTTTTTCATCCCTTGCTGCAACCCTAATATTGGCCCTGGTGCTCCAGATTTCAACCCGACGACCCTGGGATGTTGGGAGGGATGACAGACATATTGTTATGCCTGGAGGTGGTGACAAAGCAGCAGAGAGGAGTGGTAAAGCTGGAAGAATTCTAGAATGCTGTAGAGGGCTAAAGTAGGTGTAAGGAAGACCCTGGGATAACCCCTGGGGATAAAGCTTAAGGAGTGTTACCTAGAGGAAAGATTAATGGGTGAATACATTAAGATGAATGGATCCCTGTAAAAGGCTGATTGGATTAAATAGCAAATCCATTAATAGATTAATTAACTAATTACTCGGTAAAGACAGATGGATTTGCTGATGTAGTTTGGTGGACAGAGCCTTGGGAAGGGGATGAGCTCACTGCAGAAGGTCTTAAAAGATGAGGTTATGAAGCAAAAAGCAGGTCTATAGGCTTCTTAAAGGGATCATCAATACCACAGGCTACTGTGTGTAGGAGGAAGTGGGGATACTTCTCTTGGTCACTTTTTGTGAAATTAGCCAGAAATTGGTGTGAGAAAAGTAGAGAAGACAAAGGACTATCTTGAAATTTGTTCTTCATCTCAGTTAAGGAAAGGACGAAGGTTTACTTTGCATTGGTTGTGGCAGGGATGGGGGGCTTTCAGAAAAATACACCCAACTTGAAATCAGGGTGAGATGTGAAGTACTTATTTCAGGCCACATCTAAACCTTGAGGCAGCTGTTCACTCTTCCTAGGCTGGATTAAGTTTCAGTGACCCAGAAGATTTTCAGGGATGGAGGAGGGTGGCAAAATGGAATGTGGCAAAATGACCCCAGTGAAATTCAGCCTGGGGAGCCAATCACACTTTTATGTGAGTTTATCCCCATCCCAGCCCTGCTGAGGCAAAAAAATCCTGGGGGTAGACCCAGACCCCCATTCGCCATAAATATAATCAGAAATTTCAGGCTGGAAGGGACATTGGGTTCCATGTAGTTCCATCTCTGAAGGTCACAGAGGGGTTCCAGACCCTATTCTCTGATTCCAAATCCAATGGTCTTTCCACTGCTCCTTGATACCTCTCCCATCCCCTCTTTGCTCTCACTCCCTGGGAGAGGAAGCAGCTGCCTGCCTTCCAGGGTGACAGCTCCACTTCTCCCTTGACTCTAGCTGCCTCCCTTGCCGGGGCCTTCCAGGCTTATTCCCACCCACCTCTCCCCAGGGGCGCCTCAGGGGAGAAGAGGAGGAGAAAACTTCTGTAGCCTCTTGATTGGCTAGGCTCTCCCCTCATGCCTCCCCCTTCCAGTAAAAACTAAAATGAGGGGCATAGAAGAAGAGATGGAAATCCCCGAGGAAGGTGATTTTCTTCAAACCCAATCCCTGTAGATGCCTCCAGTATTTATTTAGAGATTGCTCTGGGGTTGTGTTAGTATAAAAATAATGCTATGAGAGTGGGAGGCAAATAGGCAACCCAAGCTGGGCTTTGGGACCACTTACGACCTGCAAGGGAGACATGCTGGATTTCCCTGTCTTTGCTACTGGTTCCATTAGTTCACTGGCACTGTCTCTAAGTTGCCTAACCTCCCTGGCTTCCCTGCCTGTGGGAGGGAAGCCATTGGGAGAGGACTAAGTGAGGCCCCATCTTAGGCAATTCAGATCCAGAAGGTAACTCAGACATTACTCCAACCACATTTTACAGATGATGAACCTAAGGCCCAGGAAGTTTAAATGGCTTGCCCAATGTTCACAGATACTATCAGTGGTGAGATTTGAACCCAGGTGCTTAACCTCTAAGGTCACTTTCCGCTTTACCATGCTGCCTTTGAAAACAGATATTCTTGGGGCAGCTAGGTGGCACAGTGGATAGAGCACTGGCCCTAGATTCAGGAGGACCTGAATTCAAATGTGACTTCAGACACATAACACTTACTAGCTGTGTGACCCTGGGTAAGTCACTTAATCCCATTGCCTAACCAAAAAAAAAAAAGAGAGAGAAAGAAAACAGATATTCTTATCATTGGCTTGGACCTCCCTTGGCAGGGCTACTCTAATGGAGGAAAAAGCAGGTTTTAAACAGGAGAGAGAGAGAGAGAGAGAGAGAGAGAGAGAGAGAGAGAG